CTCTCTCTCTCTCTCTCTCTCTCTCTCACTGTCCCTGTCTCTGTCTCTCTCTGTCTCTCTACCCCCCGCCCATCAAACGCAAGGAGCATCCTGCCCGCTGAATCACAACCAAGGGACAAGTCACAGGCCCAAGGAGGTTATCATGTAGCATGTGACTATTCTCTGGCATTGCGTTGGTCAGTAGATCGATGGCTATTCTCGGGCGTCACGTATAGTTACACATGTCGCTTCTCCATACAGCTCTCCACCTCCCATGTTAGGCACGCTATGGCTTGACACAAACACTCAGCAGGATTTTGTTTTGTTATAGTAAGCTTTTTTTGTTTTTTTTTTTTAAGTAGAGGGTTTTATTGCGCTTGCAACTGCATGAGGTCATATGAGCGCCAAGGGCTGGGTGTCAACAGAGAAGTACTTACATGGAATCAGACTTACTCTGCTCACCTTTCTAGCTTCAACAGCACAAGGTCGACTTCGACTATCAAGGCACCCCGGAAATAGCGGGTCACAAGAGAGTGACAAATATACAAAGGAAGTAGAGGAAAATGGCAATAGTAAGGATTAGGAACGAAAAAGCTGCAGTTCCCTGTTGCAGATCAGGCACAGTTATGAGCGTGATATGATGAATCAGCCCATTTACAATTCTACTGTGCTTGAACGAGAAATGTTCCCCCCTTTGGGAATGGCATAAAGACACTACAGTCAGTGGCACTGCCCCGGAGGATAGTAAGTATTTTACGGCACTCGCAACACAATAAGGTCATATAAGTGCCGAAGATTAGAAATGTTACAAGAGAGTAACAAACACAAAAAAGAAGGAGGGGAGATAAAGACGATAGACATTTGATAGGAAAAAAGAAGCAAACCACACCAGAGCACCCGCCAACCACCCACTCAGCAGGATCGGCATTTCTTCAGAATGCGATTCACCAAAGGTGGACACGCAGCCACTACTCAATGAAAGTTCCAATGTCGGAAGAAGGAGGAATTTCTGAGTCAGAGGTGACAGCACCAGAAGCGCCAACAACCCTCAGTCACAACCAGAAGTACAAGAAGACGCATCTGGCACTGAACTCAGTTGCAACAATAATGGCCATATCGTGCCGACAGGGGAGATGGGGAGCTGTGGAGAAGCGACACGAGCAAGTATACATGGTCGCTTTTTAGCACAAGGGGGATATCTCGAAAAATGCTGTTTTGAGAAAATCGAAGGTAAAGTGTTTGCCCCTTGATCCGTTTCGCTAAAAGACAAGGAGAGTTTTCTCTAAAACCAAACAAATATACACACCAATGAAACCAGACTTCTCTTACAGGTAGGTCAATGCCCACTTTTGGTGTACGTCAAGATTTCTGCAAGCCCCCGAAATCTGGGTTAGCCCGCTTGTCCTTAAAAAGCGACCACATGACGCCGGACAATAGCCACTTGCTATAATGTAAGGTCCTCGCATAGGCCCCAGGATAGAGCTAACGACTCACAGAGACATGCTGTTTTCGATGGTAGAAATTTGGCTACGAATAATGTACTCACATAATTATCTAACATTTAAGATGCTGGTTGATTTATGTGTGGTGTGGCGTGGTATGGTGTGGTGTGGTGTGGTATGGTGTGGTATGGTGTTGTGTGGCGTGGTGTGGCGTGGTGTGGTGTGGTGTGGTGTGGTGTTGTGTGGCGTGGTGTGGTGTGGCGTGGTGTGGTGTGTTGTGGTGTGGCGTGGCTTTGTGTGACGTGGCGTTGCGTGCTGTGGCGTGTTGTGGTGTGATGTGGTGTGGCGTGGTGTGACGTTGTGTGACGTTGTGTGACGTTGTGTGACGTGGTGTTGTGCAGTGTTGTGCAGCGTGGTGTGGCGTTGTGTGACGTGGTGTGACGTGGTGTTGTGCAGCGTGGTGTGGTGTGGTGTGGCGTGAGCTGTACTGTTCTGTACTGTGCTGTTCTGTGGGAACGGAAATGAGAATAAGGAAGAGGAGGGGGGGGGAGGGATCTTCAAAGCATTAGAAGAAAGATAAAAATGGGAGGACTTCCGTAACGAGCGACCACTATAAGACAGAGTAGACTAGAGGGCCAGGGGTAGGGGTAGGGTTAGTATTAGGGTTAGTGTTAAAGTTTGGATTAGGGTTAGGGTTAGGGTTAGGGTTAGGGTTAGGCCTATTCTTTATTGTGTTTTGTTGGGGTGGTCGCTCGTTAAGGAAATCCTCCCATAAAAAATTAATCGAATGATCTTACCTAAACCGGTTCCATTCGTATGGACGAGTGAAGGATCGCTGAATTTCATCTGAAGTGTAACATTCCCTCCGCCTGTGTTGCAATTCAGATCAATTGCCGGCATCTCGATGCATGCGCGTGATATTAACTTCACAAATAATTCACTCGGTGGTACACAATTCTATATTCATCAAGGCACAAAACACAATGCATTGATATAATTTTGTTCAAATCCCCGAAGAAAAAGTAATAACGGCTAGATTTAAGCCTGGACACTCAGGAAAAACAACAACACACATATCACGAGCGAGCACAGCAGCTGTATAATGTGTATTTTTAATTCAATCAGTGAAAAGATCAGTCTCGGCACGTACTGTTTCGTGTCATGAAGAGTCAAATGAGGTCGACCTCTTTAGCATGACATTGTGACTCTTCTCTCGGGTTTTATTTCTATATTTCTTAGAGCTAAGTCAACCTACATTGTACGGTTTAGCCTACTTTGTAAATAACAGAACTTAAAACCACACACTGTTACACCGAACCTCACTCCAAAATGCGAGAAAAAACAAAACGAAGAAGTATTCTGTCAATACGATGAAGGAGAATTAAAACAAACATTCAAACAAACAAACAAGCAACACAGCTCGCTTATTCGAGAGAAAACGTCAATCATAATCTACCCACGAGACACTCGAGTTGAGTTACACGCGTCGTGTAAGTGTAAGCTTATCCTCTGTGCAGGCTTATTCATTTGCATTAACGACAGCACGTTGATCCATAATAATAATATGATTATTACTACAACTCGTGGCAAAGCTGTGCTACGGGGGAAGAGGAGGGGGTGTGGGTGTGTGTGTGTGTGT